TATACATAACTCTGGACGTGTTTTAATTGCTTTCCTGTATAGGTTTTTGTCTTTGGCTTCTTTTTGCCATCTGGTTGTAAAGTTGTTTAGTGCATTGTGCACTTCAATCAGCAGACCTTAATGTTCACTATTGAAAGGGATTGTGCACGCACTTTCCCTCTTATTCAGGTGACAATGCAGATAAGCCATTTCCTTATACACACTACGTGTGCATGAATAAACACGCTTCATCTGTTGCAGTCTAAAGTTTAAATGAAACCCACCCCTGAAACAAAATCATAAGATTGCTTCACACAATTGGCACCCTTTCCAATCATTTGCAGCCTTAATATTTGAAAAGACAGATTGAATAGTGCTTCTTTGTTGCTCCAGAGCAGCAGTGCTTTGTGCTTATGTTCCATGGTGTCCTGAATAACAATCATTGTTTATAAGACAGATATTGAGAAATGTTTCATCCACCTTTACTGCAGGTATGATGGAGGCTTATTGGTTCTTCCCTTAGCCTTTGAAAAGCTGTACACCCCATCAGCCTCTAACAATACAGTATACTTTTACATCTGATGTAATGTGCTGGACAGGTATCAGCTCTGACTTTATCCCCCTAGGAATGTACAAGAATTTCATAGTGCATAATGCATTTTGTTCCTCATAGTTGCAAATAAAAGCATGTAAAGACACTCCAGACCGTTTAAAGAGTCATAAGGCCTGTTACATCAGACTCTGTCTGCATGAGCATAGCATTTGCTTTCTTGTTTTCTGATTTATTTTTATTTTTCATTAAGGATTTAGTCAAAATTGAAAGTAAACCGGATTAATCAATTAAGTTAAATGTATCCATGTCTGGTCTAAAATGGAGTCATTTTTACAATGAACAAGGGTTTATACTGTGAGGGCTAACTTGGTTCAGACATGCAAGTAACTAAACATGACATTAATCATTCAAAATATAAAATAACTAAACCCAAATTAACGAAGTTAACTTGGTTTAGTAACCTTAATTTCTGCAAAGTACACCCCATCCTCCCAAACGCAATGTGTTCCCTCACTCACACACAGTGTTTTCTTTCTGTATAGCTTCATGAGTTATTGTTGATGTAATGGTGGTTTTGTGGCCAAACAATGCTCTCTTTCTCCCCCTGGCCATGGCCTCTCTTTGTGAAAGGGTCTGAGCAGAGATGTTGCGTTTAACTGGGTGGACGTCACTCTGGGGGAGAAGAAGGAAAGTGGGTGAAAGAGAGAAAGGAAGTATGAGAGAAAGTTTGACAAAGCCATTTATGAAAACTTTCTCAGTAGCTTCATTATGCGAGGTCTAGTCTGCCCTCTGGAACACCCTTTCTATTTATCCCTTTTTTTCCTTCTCATCTTCTCCACCTCACTACCATTAAAAATCGCTGTGGCCACAATGTGCTGCATGTTTACTGGGTTTTGTCTGTCCACCATTGTTGTGTTTCTTCACCATCAGCCAATCGCATGTGTCTGGGGGCTGGATCTAGCTGTGAGGCGTGTTCCAGGAAAGGTTACAGCTCAGACCAGAAGGATTCCCAGCAGACAGCAGCCCCTCCCATCCACACTGCCAAGATCTGTTGACTCTAGAACAGGAGAAGGATCATTTATCCTGTCTTGTCAGGCCAGGGAGGCCACGTTTACATTAAAACACTGCAAAAGAGAGAAGATAGCAAATATATGTTAGAGGGAAGATAGCGGGATTCTACACATAACTAGAGTAGGACTTAAGCTGGCGTGGCTAACAGTTCAAACAAAAATGGGATGAAGACATAAAAACAACTATAACACTCCCTACACCGAACTACCACCCAGCCTAGTCATAAAATGACATAGATCCTCCCTTAAAGTCTTATTTCATCACAGTGTGTTTATAAACCAGTTTAGTAGCAATTCTTGTATTTAATGACAGACTGGTGTTACAGACGGTTACTGTTTTACTTCAAGGATATAAATGTGTTTTCTGTGAGGGTGTGACAGTCTGTCTGGGGAAATTCAAAATCCTCCTCTGGAAACCTTGCTGTGTGATGCTTGCATTTTAATTAAGGTTGTACTGACTTGACAGGAATTTTATTATTATAATTGCATAGGTCTGCCCTATAAACAAATATTCACCTATATTTGTTTTGAAAAAGCTTTCACTGCATAATTAAGGGAAATGTCCTTCCTCGTGTTTTGAACCACAATATTACAATGTCTTTGAGAAGAGGAGCCATATTTGAGATTAGCAATATTGTACATATTTTAACTGTAAATTAGATTTAAACATTTGATTTCAGTAATATATTCAGTCACTGGTTTATGGTTACTTATTTTGGATAAGCTAAAATATTAGATTACACAGTTTTTTTAGGGCAAATGAAAAGAGGTCAATACCTAGGTAAAAAGTGAGCACACAAATAAATTGTGTTAATATAAAATCTCTGTGTGTGGTCTCCCATGATGCAGCTAAAGTGAATTAGAAAAGCAGAATCAGGTCAGAATGTGCCTGAATGAAACTGACAAGAGATTTGACTGTCATCGCCTCATAACACATACATGGCTTCAAACTAATCTGTGCCTAAGCAACAGGCTGTGACACATGGATACTCCCAAATGTGACAATAAAATAAAACATTTCCTCAAGAAGTATGCTCACCAAGGCTGCATTTATTTTATCAAAAAATAAAGTAAAACAGTAATAGTTAAATAGTATTACAATTCAAACTGTTTTCTATTTTAAAATGCAATATATTCCTGTGATGGTAAAGCTGAGTTTTCAGTCTTCAGTGTCACACAACCCTTCAGTAATGATTCTAAAATGCTGTTTATTTAACACAGTATATAAAGTTAAAACAAAAAGTATCTATTTGAAAATAAAATCTTTTGTAACATCAAAAAATATTTTCTTTCTTAATATAAAAAATAATAATTTTATATTAAGTATTAATAGTGACCCTAAACTTTTGAACGGTAGAATATATTCTAAAAACTATTTATTTACTAACCAGAACCAAGGATTTTAAAACTATAACCATGTTTCCTGATGGCACTGGTTGCGTCTGCGTAGCCACGTAATATTTTCAAACTTGGAATGAAGAATTTCTGCTGTCGTTTATCCATCATATTTATCTGTCTGTTTCGTGTCCGTCTGGATGTGTGTCATTTTTCACTGACTCATCTTTATGGCAGTTGCTCTCTGTGCAGGTGAACCCTGCAGCTCACTGACTTGTGAAAAATGCAGTCCCAACTAAAATAGTGTTACTGCACCTGCATACATCCATGTGGACGTTTGTTTGCACATAACACAAGAGCAAAACTGTAACTTTCAATAGAAAAATGCTTGTATACATAAAATACTACTTTGAGCTTTATACCAGAGCTTTATTAATTTAAACACACACAATACCAAATATTAAGTGCTGTCTGTTAACAGACGGTATTTATAAAAATGACATATCCTGAGACAATTACCATTTTCCTTCAAATACAAAACCTATAAATACAAAATTATTATTCTGTACAATTTAAAAAACATAATGCTTATTTAAAAACATCCCAAACAATGAGAAAAACCCCACTATAAACTACAATCAAATGCACAAAACTGCAAACTTTAAGTACACACTTCAATACACTCATGCATATACAGACGCACATTTTTCAAGTTTGTTAGGACAGGACAGTTGTCCGCATTTGGGACAGTTGCATGAAGCAAAACCCATATACAACTTTTGTACACACTTCAAAAGGCATGTACAAGTTAATCATATTTTAAATTCTGATTAACAACTTCTCTTAAACCCACCCCAACCCCTTGACAAATGCAGAATCAACAAATCAGTTTTCTAGAATGCTGCTAAATACAAGTTTTTGTTTGCTGCAGAAGAATTATTTCACTGCAGAACCGGGTATGGTTATATAGTTGTAAAAATCAAGCTTTTCCATATTGTTTTCCCAACTCAAATGTGCTCTGCATTTAAGATGGGTGTTTTCAATAAGTGCATTTCTACACTAACCAAATACAGTTCAATTCTGCTATGTCTCTGCAGCTATAAAACCTACCATTCAGGTGTGGCAAGAGTTCCAACTCCAAAAGGAAAAAAAAACCCTGGAAACAAAGTTCACTTTGTATTCCCAGCAGTTCAGCGTTCAAGCAGTATCAAAGGTTTCTGCCAGATCATATTAAAGGTCCCTAAACTACACAGAGAGTGGAGAAGTGAACCCTGAGAACTCCATTACCATAATTTCAGGAAAAACTGATTCTACAGGCATCAAACAGACCTGAAAAAGCAGCAGTTTATCACTTTGAATTAATCATTTGGAAATCAGCTGCCAAATCTGGACATTCCCTGAGGTTTTAATACACAGACGTGTCAGGGGTACAATCTTGTTTCTTGAGGCATTATGTAGTACTACATAATCATTATTCAGTGCCATAGGAAAGCCCACAGTTACAAGATCAAGGCATTACCACAGTCTAAAACTAAAAAGATGGAGGTAGAATGAACAGACAAGCACCCATTTCTTAAAGTCTGAGCACTTGTTTCCTAACTGAAATTATTTGAATGACTGTTTTAGAAGAGTTTTTCAGATCTCTGGTTCAGTTGAGTCGGATTATGAAGCAGATGCCCTCCATACAAGCTCTCAAATCTTCAGTCTACAACAATTTAATTTACTAGTCTACATATCTGCAGAAGCACCTTTGTTTGCAGACAGATGAAAAAAGAAATGGTCACACAGCCCCCTACTGGTAATGTTTGACAGTACTACAATAATTAAAGCTCTAGAAAAGCTTTAAAATGACCTGAGTTCCATACATCTCATTCAAGAATTACTAATAAACAGTAAGTTCTAGCTCATACCTAGACAAGGCAAATACATAGGCCTGATTTTTTGGGGGGTCAATATTTAAGTAACGATGACCAAAAACAATGCTAATAGGCGAACATTTAACTTATACAATTTAAATAATTAAACCACAAGACAAATTAATTTTTGTTTTCTCAAAAACTAAACTAAAATACCCTACTGTAGGTATAATATGGCTGACAGAAATAAAAAAATATGGCTTCATAGTGTACTAAACCTAACACATGCATCTCCTCTAGAGGGTGCTTGTTGACAATATTGTCCGGTTCTAATAACTACAGTATTAAAATATTAAAACACGGCCTCATCCCAAATTTACTGTCTTTATCAGAAACAGAACCAATTAAGCCAATTCAGTAGTGCATTTTATACGAACTTCAATCTGTCATAATGTGAAGGAGTGTTTTAAAACTTCATAGGATCTGAATCTGAATTAAACTAATTCCAATTGAACATGCATGCCATCAGTTGTTCTGTTACACTGGATGCCTCATGTTTTGAGCAAATCTCCCAGATCATACGTGTCAAAAAAGTCAGATACGCCTTCTCCATCCTCCAGACCCCAGAGGTAGTCGTCGTGGCTGAGCTGAGGAGAGAAGCTAACAAAAGGCCCAGAGGTGTCGGATGTGAAGGCCAACCCAGGCAGCTGGTCTTCGGTGATTTGCAGAAGGCTGGGAGGAAGATCCAGAATCCCCTCCACATCGAGCAGGGACGTGCTTTCACTTGTGCCTGTCATTGATTGCTGAGGCTTTGACGGCAAACCTGAACAAAGGAACAGACTCCATTCAGCCTGTGTTTTGATAACTTTGCTACTAGCTTTTTGATAATCCTAGCTTTGTAGATGGGTTTAGATACACAGCTCTTTATTCATAGAAACCCCTGCACACAATGTCCTCACTAGATCTTATTCAACTCAAACATTTAAAGAGTAAACTGTTGTTATTGGCTCCAAAATACTTTAACACTTTTCGCTTTGAAAGTGATAAGTAGTAGTAAGTTCCTGGTAATTGTCTCACCTTCGACTGGCTGGGGTTTGGCAGGTGGGAAGACGGAGGGTGTGGAGGCACAGGGGGATTGTGGGTAATCTTTTCTGGGTGTGGCATTCTTGATGGGACTAGCGTCCTCCAAACATTCTTCAGGACACAAGTACACCTCAATTGGGCCGTTCTTGCTCTTCAAGTAAATCTGCAGCGAGCCCTAGTGAAGAAAAAAAAAAAGATGACATTTTCTATTAACAAAGTTTTAAACATCTAGTGCAGGGGTGCCCAACCCTGCTCCTGCCGATCGACTGTCCTGCACAGTTTATCTCCAACCCTAATTAAACACACCTGCCTTTAATTTTCAAGTGAGCCTGAAGACCATAATTGGTTGCTTCAGGTGTGTTTGATTAGGGTTGGAGATGAACTGTGCAGGACAGTCGATCGGCAGGAGCAGGGTTGGGCACACCTGATCTAGTGGGTCATAAACAGGGTCCGAAATTAACACCCGCCAAGCGCCAAATGCGGGTAGATTTTCCGTTTGACGAGTAAATCTCAAAAGGCTATCCGCCACACTGGCGGGTGAATGTTCATACCAAAATAGTAATGTAATAAAATGCGGAGTCTCCACAACGGCGATAGATCTAAGAGCTCGTCCGGGTGAAGACTGTGCGCGAGGCTGCGAGCCACAGGAGAACAACTGTATCTATGCAACTGATCGCAGTGGCAACAAGCGCTCAGCTTGATTTCAAAAACAACAGATTTAAGCACTAGATCTCTCATTTAATAGCAAACTAAATGAATGCTCTGCTAGTTAACTGGAGATGTTTTATTTATCTGTATTAGGTACATCCGTTCTATGACATTAGTATATTTTGTACTAACTGAATATTTACTTATATTGCGTCATTGTACCCAGCACTTCTGAAAATGCACTTCCGAATCCGTCTCTGTCCCCAGCACATTTCAAACCAAACTGACGCCCATGAGTGAGCCAACTTTTGAAACGAAAACGAATTACATAAAAAAAGAAACCAAGAGAAAAGGCAAACTTTCTTTCACTCTTGCTCACACACACAAACAAACAAATGCACAAACAGCAGGGCAGATTGTTCAGAGCTCCAAAAAAAACATGACGTGGTCAACTTCTGAACAGAGCGCCCTCCACAGGTCAAGTAAATATAGCAGTCCTTCAGTTACTGATCGGGTCAGTGTAAATGGAGTAAAAAAATAGGCAGAGTAAAAATTTTTTTTTTTTTTTTTATATAATTATAATATATTATTATTGCATACATTTTATTAAATATTCAATTAATACATTTCATTTGTACAGAAGTATTTTCATAGGCACCACCACAAAAATATTATTTTAATGCGTGTAAATTGTGTAATGTGTGTAAATTCAATTGTGTAATATGTGTGTAAATAAAAGTAAAAATGGAAAATGATAAACCAGAAATATAATGACAAAAATGTTTATATATTATATATATATATATATATGAATGTGTGACACAAAAAGGCTGTTTATTATTTTGGCTGGTAAAAAATATGCTTGGCTGGTGGATTTTTTCATCTACCAGTCCCCATTGCAGGTGAGCGAAAAAGGACCCTGGTCATAAATCATCAATTTTTGGTTACGAAATTTTAACTGTAAGACTTTAATAATACAATATTAAATTATTCTGTTTGGGTTAGAACTAAAATCACATCGGCAGATAGAGTTGGATTAGTGTTGCACGGTGCACCAATACTTCAAAAGTATCGCGATTCTCGGAAATTAAAAACGTCACGATTCCTAAATTTATTAGTATCGATACTTTTATGAATGACCGCGTTCCAGATTTGTAAGAGACGTATTTCATGTTGGTGTGTGCAACGCACGCTTCCAGTGCCTCCCTATGGACGCCTGTGTTTTTTCTCCTTACGCACGCAGCAAAGAAGCTGCAGCTGTCATGAGACAAACACTACAGCGAGATGGCTGCATGTGCGAGCACAAGTGATACTGTGGCCACCGGTCAGTAGTGGAGCAGCAATCCGGAGAGTCGGGACTTTTCCCGGTGGGCCGGTAGTGCTTCGAGGCCGTGCAGAACTGTGCAGAATAGAGAGTCTCCGCAACGGCGATAGATTGAAGCGCGTCCGAGTGAAGATGGTGCGCGAGCCGCAAAAGACACTGTATCCATGCAACTGATAGCAGCGAAAAAGAGCGCTCCGCTTGATTAAAAAAACAAACAGATTTTAGCGCTAGATCTCTTATTTAATAGCGAACTAAATGAATGCTCTGCTAGTTAACTGGAGATGTTTCATTTATTTTTGTATTAGGTGTACAACTTTCCCCCCAACTTTCATAGATAACATTAATAATTTGCAAGCTGCTAAAATAAAGCATAAAAAACATCAGCTAAAATTGATCTATAGGCTATATGATTATAATCAGAGGATGTGCATGTTTGTCAGGGATTTATTTATATTAGGTTATTACAGCATTTAAAGAGCACAGACCTACGCAAAGGAGGTGCATGTGAAACGTCTTGTAAGAAATACTTTTCCTTTTCAGGAAATAGTGTTGTCAAAATATTCGGTACTTCGGTACCAAGTCGGTACTAAAAAAATGTAAACGTTAAACATCACGGTATCAAGTACCGGTGGTACCGAGTACCCGGTCAAACCCGGTTCTGGATGCGCACGAAGGGCGTGAAGTTGCGTCCTCTTCATGAAAGCGCTGAGACATGACGACTGGCGGCGCTGCTGATGTGGTGTCTGTGTATATTAAACTGCAAAAAGACCGTTAAATATTAACCCTGCATGTTCTGCTTGTCTCTGTGTGAATGAACGGCGCAAACGCGCGGTTTCATTTAGCGTTACCTCACACACACACACACACACACTGAAGCACGAGTGACGCTTGCGCTGTTTTCAGTCTCTGCTGCCTTACGATATGGTGACATGATTCAATTCATCTCCGAGAGTCACTTCATGAGCATTTTACCGTTTCATTTGAGAAAAACTATCGTCATATCATACACGCACAGAAACTCAAGTCTTCACGGCAACCCGTCAAAATAAAAGTTTGGTTTAAATCGACAGAAATAATTATATTAGGCTACTGTACAATAGATTTAACTACGTCTCCATTAATTAAAAATACTACTACTACTAATAAGAAGTGCATAGAAGGTTGCTTATTTTTCACTTGATTTTTTTAATAAGCAATATTTCTCAATATCATCAATATTTTCGTTTAAACAGCATGTAGCCTTCAATGCTTTCATAAATGTACCGTCATAAATAATAAAGTCATTGAATTTAAATTTTTTTTTCCCAAATAATTAAATAAATTGGCAAAATAGTTCAAACTGATTTTGCTGTGGTACCGAAATTGGTACTGAGAACCGTCAAATTTTAATGGAATCAGTACCGACTACTGGAATTTTGACATCCCTATCAGGAAAAGTATCGAAAAAGTATAGAAATCGCAATTCTTGACTTGGTATCGGTATCGAAACAATAATTTTGGTATCGTGACAACACTAGTTTGGATTAACGCCCATTTCACATTGGATGCGCAAGCAGAGTGGAGTCAGCGCAAAAGCTGTGTGTATGTAGAGCGGGTGTTGTGCTTTCACACTGGCAGCATTTGTCACGCTGAACCGTGGCTTGTGTACTGCAAATACAGATGAGTATCATCCATTCTGTCGTTTTTTAAAGTTCTCCTCCGACCACTGTCTGTCACTAGTTTTGATTTATGATGGGCATCATACTCTGCTGTGATGCAGCAGAGTTCCTCTCCTACTGTCCCACACACATGCATATAACATGCTGTATACATGTAGTTTACATGATAAATATATATATAGTAATCTTAAAGTTAAGATATACCTCTAGTTTTAATTATTTAAACAGGCCTTTGAAGTTTGGGCAAAAACTCCTGGCAATGAAGTGTTTTCGTGTATTTTATTTATTTTTTTCATAGCGCTGAATGTCATATTGTGATTGTGAAACATGGAACATCTCACTTATATGATATATAGTGAAATTTGTTATTTTTCATGTTAACTTTTTCAGCATAAGTGGCGCAGCAAAAATAGACTCAGCGGCGAAATGATTGTGTGTGCACTGTGAATGCTCCGTTAACATGTGCCCCGAAAACATGCACTGCTTACGTGTCCAGTGTGAAACGGGCCTAAGACGAATACTGACCTCAGAGGCTTCGGGAACTTCCAGTTTGGTTTCAGATGGTGCCTTCACAGCTATAACAGTTTGATCTTTCAAGCTGGTTATGGTACGAATGTCCTGATAGGTCACATATCCTAATGTGAGCTTGAGTTAAGGACAAACTGCTTTGACATCTAATACAGGTTTTAAAATGACTGACAGTTCAGTCATGAAGACTTTATAGTTCAGTTCATTTGAAATGCAATAAAGACTCACAATAGAGAGAAAAGAGGAGGATATCTAAGCCTCGTAAGTGTTTGGCTGCATGGATGTATGCTGTTTGAACAGGATGTATGAGCAAGCACACAAACGTGAAGGAGACGAACCACTCCTCAGTTCTTCAGAGAACAAACACACACACAATGAAAGGATATCTTTGGTTGTCCTTGTTCTCTGTCAGTTCTCGTAGCCGTGTTGAGCTGGACTGAATGAGGTCGTCCAGAGCTTTCTCCTGCCGGTCCAGCTCAGAAAGCTCTCTCTTGAGAGCGCTGGTCTTCTCTGAATTGCAGGACGAGCCCTCAAACACACCACTGACCCTAAAGCACACGACATACAGAGAACATACTGTTTGAAACTGAAGAAACCATGATAATTATATAAATGAGCATTTATCTATTTTAATATATTTTAAAAGGCAATTTATTCCTGTGATAGCAAAGCTGAATTTTCAGCAGTGTCCAGCGTCACAATGTCCTTCAGAAATCAGACTTCAGACATCCCGTTGTCAAACAGGAAATGGGGACCATTTAGAATGGAACACAACTAGGGCTGGGTAAAAAAAATATCGATTTCTCGATATTAATCGATTCTCATTTTTACGAACCAATATCGATTCTTAAATCTTAAGAATCGATTAGTCATCCTGTTTTCATTTGATGAATGAATGGAACATTGTAGCGCGCATCCCATCCAATAAATCGCAATAATCTTCGTGCTTTGTTACTACTGATACTAAATAAAGTCTCAAATTTCAAATTACGTCCATTTTCTTACGAAATTCAAAAACATAACTACCGTTTTGGCGCTGTGGCGTGAAATCGCTCTGGCTCAGTTCAGCTCAGAAGCAGCAGCGCGGCATGCACATGATCTCCTGTTCTGCCTTAATAATACCAGTTACAGCGCGATATAAACATGAATGAACGTCTGAAAGTGTGTTAAAAGATAAGAGTACAACTTATCGAAATCCATATTATGTCACATGGAATCAATCAGTGTTTCAACCGTGGAAAGATGTCAGTAAAACAACTTGTAAACAATGTCATGTAACGTCACATTTACCTCATAAAAACCATGTGACGATAAATTAATTCTAATTAACTCTAAAGAGGAGCATTTTGCTAAATATATGCACCATATAACATATTCATTATAATTTTTAATGTTCTTCGATATTTAATGCATGTTTGAATAAATCTGGCAAGTTTTTATGACAGCCACCATTTAAATGTTTATATTTCATATAACTTTATTATTATAAAAATAAATAAAAGTGTAATTTAAGTGTTTGTATAGCTACAAATCAGTTAATTTTTACCTTCAATATTATAGTAGGCTAATGAAGCCTAGTAGGCTACAACTGATTCCCATAGTTTACAGCATTAGTTAAGAGATTTGTTTTCCTTGAGAAAATTTGACATGTATTGTACCTGATATCCAAAATAATCAATATTGAATCGAATCGAATTGTGAAATTTGTGTCAATACCCAGCCCTAAACACAACACCATCTTAGAGTTCATGTCATGCATTTAATCAGTCAAATCAAATTTGAGCATTCATCACTCTGATTTACAGAACATTCAATCTAACACTCACATCCACTGGATGTTGTTTTTGGATTTCTTGCGGATGAGCTGCACTCCCTCCAGAACATTGGTGATGTCGTAGATGCGTCTCTTCTGAACCTCTAGAACCTCTGTGGCCCAGTTCAGATCCAGAACCCCGTCAGCCGATTCGCTCAGCAAGCCCACAAATTTCTTAGTCAGCAGACCGAGGGATGTGTCATAACGGGTACGTTCCCCTGGAGACTTGGGAGCTAGAGAGAGATGGAGAGAAAGAGATACAAAAGAGCCATTCTTTTAGTTTGTAGTTATAGTTTGAGTATTACCAGCTGCAGTTCCTACTAGAAAAGCAAGAGATGCTTAAACAGGTGTGTTTACTTTTCAAACTATTATGATGAGAGGCCCTAAAACAGGTAGAAACTTCCGGCCACTCAGTCAACATATGGAAACAGTGGTCTTGGAATCAACAAAGGTCCATTTGTCCTAACAGTGCTTAGTTGCAGATCATTATGTTGTACTCACTTTTGGGGCTTGGTGCCCTCGCACATGCAGAGTTTCCCTTCCCTTTTGGTGTGCGGAATTCTGGGAGATAAAGTGGCTCTTCCAGATCTAGTCTCCTCTTGGCCTGAGAAAGACAGAAAACAAGAGAACGTTCATTATATCTGCCTTAAAACTTAGCCTAGAAGAAGTAGTTTCACCAAATCATCTGAATGAACATAGCTCCTAGTTTAGCATGGTGTCCTTGGTTCTGTGAAGGTGAAATTACATTTGCTAAACTAAACGTTTTTTCAGTTTTCAGGAAGGAGTGTGTTGAAAAGAACTCAAGAACAATTACTCCTATTTTCCCACTTATATCCGACCCACCCTAAATATAAAAATAAAAAATTCTTGTCCTCTTCCTTGAGAGGATAACCTCAGTGACTACTAATGCAATTCACACAAAGTAAGCTTTTGAACATATCAGCACACATGTAACTGGCAAAGTTGCAATGCAATGGAAGTAAAGAAAGATTTCTTTCTTACGTATTGTGCCATACATCCGAATAAAATAAATGTAGGGTGAGGACTTTGGTTGTTGATTAGATGGAGGCAGACCGGAATGAGAGCTTGCAGTCGATTATAAGAAAGGGGCAGATTTAACCAAACTAAATGATAGATGTCTGTCATAAGTCAGCAGAGAGAAATCTGTCGTTTCACCAGAAGATCAAGTTGATCAGAAATTGTCAAAAGGTCAAAAAACAATCAATAACAAAGATAAATAACATGCACATCCACTTTAAAGCGGTTAATTTACCATAATGGATTATTGACAGGCAAGTAGGCTTTTTATACTAAAAATAAGTTTATACTAAAAATAGGAAGTGATCATGTTTTTAACATCTTTTAAGTGTGGCTTCATTGATTAGGTTGCAAAGTGTCTTGGACTATTACCTCCATTTATGATTGAATCTCCCCAAAAAGGATCTCAATCACATTTAAACAGGGTCTAACATACATAACTACATTCACTAAGAACCTGATATTATAAACCTCTGGTTAGTGCGATGGGTTTTAATTAGCCTGACACGACCATCTGTATTAATTCAAACCTTTTTACCATTAAAACCTTTAAGGAGGGAATGACCTGAACATTTTACACATTACTAAAATCTTTAGCAATCCACACTGGGCAGATGGGCTTGTTTCAGCAACCCAACTCCACAAAGAACTGGTTTAAAGAAGCCAACTGACGTGGAAACCTGCACCCACACATTCCTGTTTGATTTCCAATGCCATTCAGGGCTGCAGTTCACTCAAGACAGAATACTTCTGTAATAGACACTGAGCACGTGCTGAGAACAGTTCACTTATCCTGTGTGCACGAGCATCTGCTAAAATGTTTGCACTGCCCTGACCTGAACAACATCTACACCTGTCACTGACATCTGGAGCTGCCGAGCAGGTGGTTGGGGGAGAAGAGGAGCGCAATCTTTCAGTTTTTTCGGTTTCCCCCTTCCATTCTTTTTCCTTTTCTTTCTCTTTTTTTTTGTAATGACTAATATATAAATATATATATATATATATACACACTCACCGGCCACTTTATTAGGTACCCCATGCTAGTAACGGGTTGGACCCCCTTTTGCCTTCAGAACTGCCTCAATTCTTCGTGGCATAGATTCAACAAGGTGCTGGAAGCATTCCTCAGGGAGTTTGGTCCATATTGACATGATGGCATCACACAGTTGCCGCAGATTTGTCGGCTGCACATCCATGATGCGAATCTCCCGTTCCACCACATCCCAAAGATGCTCTATTGGGTTGAGATCTGGTGACTGTGGAGGCCATTTTAGTACAGTGAACTCATTGTCATGTTCAAGAAACCAATTTGAAATGATTAGAGCTTTGTGACATGGTGGAAGTAGCCATCAGAGGATGGGTACATGGTGGCCATAAAGGGATGGACATGGTCAGAAACAATTCTCAGGTAGGCCGTGGCATTTAAACGATGCCCAATTGGCACTAAGGGGCCTAAAGTGTGCCAGGAAAACATCCCCCACACCATTACACCACCACCACCAGCCTGCACAGTGGTAACAAGGCATGATGGTTCCATGTTCTCATTCTGTTTACGCCAAATTCTGACTCTAACATCTGAATGTCTCAACAGAAATCGAGACTCATCAGACCAGGCAACATTTTTCCAGTCTTCAACTGTTCAATTTTGGTGAGCTCTTGCAAATTGTAGCCTCTTTTTCCTATTTGTAGTGGAGATGAGTGGTACCCGGTGGAGTCTTCTGCTGTTGTAGCCCATCCGCCTCAAGGTTGTGCGTGTTGTGGCTTCACAAATGCTTTGCTGCATACCTCGGTTGTAACGAGTGGTTATTTCAGTCACTGTTGCCCTTCTATCAGCTCGAACCAGTCTGGCCATTCTCCTCTGACCTCTGGCATCAACAAGGCATTTCCGCCCACAGAACTGCCGCTCACTGGATGTTTTTTCTTTTTCGGACCATTCTCTGTAAACCCTAGAGATGGTTGTGCGTGAAAATCCCAGTAGATTAGGAGTTTCTGAAATACTCAGACCAGCCCTTCTGGCACCAACAATCATGCCACGTTCAAAGTCACTCAAATCAACTTTCTTCCCCATACTGATGCTTGGTTTGAACTGCAGGAGATTGTCTTGACCATGTCTACATGCCTAAATGCACTGAGTTGCCGCCATGTGATTGGCTGCTTAGAAATTAAGTGTTAACGAGCAGTTGGACAGGTGTACCTAATAAAGTGGCCGGTGAGTGTATATTCGTTGAATTTAAAATAAATAAATAAAAATCGACATTTGAATGCAAAAAAGGTACATTCGAATTTTAGGAGTACGTCAGGCAGCCTTATCAGTGGCGAACGAGATGCCATAATGATGTAAGAGTTGTTGTGTTTTTAATGTTTTTCTTAGCCTAAAGACCTAACCAAGCAGTTCACACAGAATAAATGTTTTCTATGTAAATGAGCGCTAGATGGACATATTTGACTGTTGCACTCTCGCCTCCCAACAGAGGGCCACATGTTTAGTAAAGCTATGTAAAGTAAAGAAGTTCAACTTTTACAAAAACATGTCGAGACTTCCACTGCATTTCATGTTTTTAGACACAAAAAAGTACTCTGCTTTTTGTATTAAACTATGCATACATACATTATACTGTTTTGTTCAATTGTTTATGCAATTCACGAAATATTTGATTTAGAAATGTTAGTTTAAACATTATGCACTTTTTTGTAGTCAGTCAGGTTATTTCATTGCTTTGAATAAACAATTTAATTCGGAACATTAATATTTCGCTCAATGCGCCCTCTTGTGGGCTCCGGAGAAGAAACAAATCCCCCCCCCCCCCCCCCCAACTGAAATTATGCCTTTTAAATTTGAATATTAGTAATGTTTAAGTATAAAATTCGAATTTATTTGGTAAGCCTTTTTGACAGCCATAATTATAGCTGAATCTGTGAACATGAAAATATGTAGCTGAATTTTCTTGCACATTTTAAGAATATTGAAATCATCATTTGTGAGTAGCCTACTTGGCAAAAAGGTTTCAAAAACCAATACATGTCTCAGCTAAGAGTTGTTCTGGAGTCACCACATGAAGTTTAAAGAAGAGGCTTTTGGGTAAGACTTTGAGGGGCATCTTTGAATTACATGTCTTCATCAAATCTGTGTTAACGTCAGCTGTTACCATGCTTGGCTCACGGTGAACACACACCCACCTGGGTGTGAGAGGGGGACCTTTGTGTGGTTCTGTTTCTCAGAACAGCAGCATCTCATGTCTGTAAGAGTTTGTGGTTGGTTCTGCCTATTTCCTGTGTCAGTGGGAAGTGAGAAATGCTGGCTCAGAGCAGATGGGGTGGAAGCCAAATCATTCACTTATAAAGCACTGATCTGGGAGCCGCCTTAATGTACCTACTGAAAAACAAACATTTTTCTGATTTATATCAGAAACTGGTGGGACCGCTCCAAGCTCAGGAGTTTCCTAAAGATATGCAAATCCACTGAGTAAGCCAACATCACACACAGCAGTGTATACAGGATAGCACAAATGTGTGTGTGTGTGTGTGTGTTGCATACAGAATCAATATCTTCCTGCACATTGTATCTGTGTGTACCTACCTTGAATGCTTTGGATAAAAGTATCTGGCAAATCTGGCAAAAGGTCTGTATGTGATCTTTGAAACTCAATAGGTTAAGATAAATAACTTAATATAATTGAAATATTTATAATGCTTATATTTAGTTATCATAGTTTCAAAAATCCAACCATAAATTGTTCTTCATTACAGCTATTGCTATCAGACACTTAAGTATAAAAATGTGATCAGTTATCAGTATGAAGTCATAAAAACAATATCGGTTGATCTCTCTTTATACCCTACTCATTATTGCTAAACTGACTTAAATAACTTAAGACAGATCTGCACCATTTCTCTTCTCACTCAATGGCTGGAGGTGAGAAATCAAGAGTCCTAAACAGTGTTATTAAATAACTTTCCAACTAATCTGAGGGGGTTTTTAACAAACACAATCTGCCTGAAAAGAACAGGTTTCTGTACGCCTGCAGACACACGTGAGAAAAGACCTGCAAACTGCGCCACTCCCAAACACACACACACGCTATACTCAAACTGTAAGAGAGAAGTCATTCTGCATCAGTGACGTACTTCGAGGTGTCAAAACGAAAGGGAGACACAGGTAAAGGCTAAAGGGGAAGTCCAGATGAAAAGGGCGTAAGAGGCCGATACTTTGAAATGCAAAACGTGGCCAGATGGGTCTATGCAGTGCGATCTAAATTACACAATTTAAACAGCTTGAGGCCCATCACCCACCTTGTTGATGCAACACCTGGTTACTGGAGGCCCCACAGGGGGAAATAGGTAAATTAAGAGAATGAAATGAGGTAAAATGACCTGAGGGACTCTGGGAAGCGGTGGGGGTGGAAGAGAGGGAGGGCGTCACAAGGATCTCAGGAAACAAAGCCAAATCATGTGTTCTTTAACATGGTGATCACAGACCAGTGGTTGATCACTTGATCTCGGACACGTGAGATTTGGAGTGAAGCAGAGACCTAGTGATCTCCATGACCTTTTCAATCCTCAAAGTTTGGCTCTATTGTATAGTTCTCTAGTCTTTATTTTCATTCTTTGGAGCTTGCCGAAATAACCCTGACATTATTAACTGCAGCATGTAGTCTGCAACTATTCTTGTGCTTGTGCATTTGATCAATGTCGACTTGCTAAAGCATTAACCTAACCTATGATAACAAAATATGCTCTGGGAAAACAAAGCTATTAAATATCCTGAACTGCCAGTCGTTACTGATGTTTACATGCAAACAAACAAATATCTTGTTTTAACTTTTTACATGCAAATCAATAATCTGGCAATGATAGAGGGTGGGGGAAAACAAAAATAATTGGATGTACAAGAATTTAAAAAAAAGGTGGTGACATCAAAACGTGAGCATCTATTGTATTCTGTATATTACACAGGAATAAAAGGTCTTAAAGTGACCGCAGACTATAAATACTTAAATACAAACAACAAAGCTTTAACAAAGATTAATCTTTATATAATTTATACAGTGAACACTATAGTGTTATTTTAGATTTAGGGCTAATTATATAACATCTCTGTACCTAAATACTTCAGTTAAAACTTAAACGTTACTTTATTTGTAACTTTGATGTATTGTATTTTATATATACACTTGTATTTGTTCTTATTTTTTACTAACTGTTCACTTATCTTTAACAATGTTCGAACTTTATTAGTTAGGCTAGTAGTTTCTGCTGCAGTATTAAAGTACTTAATGTGTGCTTTAAGTAATAACTGGAAAGCAAAGTTACACTCCCTACCCAAAATATTTTATTAATTTTTTCTTGCTGATCTGAAAAATGATCCGATCCGTGACTCAAAAACCGTAATAGTCGAACATCGCATGACCAACCCTGGTCTCATCACATACGCTTGTCAGAGAAAGTGTTTACAGCAGTATGAACTGACATCAATATCTATGGACTTTTAAAGTATCAGCTAACCTAAATAGATCACTTTGTTATTGGTGTTTTATTCTATTTAAATATCTAAACATTAGTGTGAATAAAAAAAAAAACGTTTAGATATCAATCTGCATATGCTAGGGACATTGGTTTTGCTCATCTTTGCTAGCTCCTTTTAAATTGAGTAAAACACGTCATTTTTTCACGAAGCAGACCTGAACCGGAAGCAATACGATCTGTTTTACAGAATACAGAGGTTAAGTTGCACATAACCCTTATATGATCCGAAGTTCCGAACCATGAGTTTTGTGACCCGTTGAACCACCACTACTGAACATAAAGATTGTGCAGCTGACTAAACGTCTTTCTGAAACAAAAAAAAAACCTTTCAGTAGACAAAAACTGAGAGTGAAAATTATGTGATCTAGGAGGATCTTTATACAGTGCATGCCATTGTAAAGACTGTACATCTATTCCTCACAGCCACGTTTTCATCTGCATTAAATTCAATACAGCGTCTAACCTGACCTGTAAGGTCTATAATGGCTTATGTGTCTTAAGTGATTTACACAGGAACTGGCTTACTTCCACATTGAAAAATAAGGTGGATAAACATCCTTTACATAAATAATTATGAAGACAATTGATAACTCATTTACAATAAGACCACAAATGTGTATTTGGAGAGGATAGGTCAATTATATGTCTTAATGTTGACCAAGTCATTTTAAAGAAATGAGGCTCAAGGGTACTATAAGTTTCTGCAAAATTCATTAAATGTAATTCACAATTTTAGTTTTTAGAGGAAAGGTTCAAAGGTCTAAGGACAGTAATGGGATCTTCAGGTGTGTCCTTTATGTCAAACTGAAAAAGGGGCAGAGAACAAAAGTGAAACTCTTTACAGCAAGAGATATAACTGTTGCACATTGTTGGGTAAAACTGAACCAGGGAAACTGGAAGTAGTTAACGATGCCATATGGAGCTTCCAGAAAAGACATTAAAGAAGTTGGAATGATTAAATAAAAATGGAATCAGGGATAGCACTAGGACAAGGCCTGATTTGTTAACATAAGATTACGTCATGGTTAAGAAACCATTTTAAGTTGATCAACTGATTAATTCAAACCTAGAGAAGCAGTCTGAGACAGGCTTATTATAATAGAATGTCAGAGTTTATGAGGCATGTATATCAGTCCTCCAATGCAGACGCCGTCGCCCAGTCTGTTATCAGCCCTAACCCATGTTTTGCAGTGTGAGTCTGTGATCATCCCTTTTGTTTATCAGCTGGAAGCAGCAAGCAACACAGAGACAAGTTCGACACAGGCAGTTCCTTGAGCAAATACTCTGACCTTTTTGACCTTTTCAACAGGGTTGAGCTTCTGTGAGGATGAATGGTGAGACAGGTGTGCAACGGCACGGGGGGGGGTGGAGTGATAATTACAAATGCAGCTACATAATAAAAGCAATAGAATTCAAGAGTTGTTTATACATACAAATACATGAATAACCAGTTTGCAGATCAGTCTAATGAACCTGGGTCATTTAAACAAGTGGCTTTATGGGAGCATTCATGTTTATTCATTATGTTTTATAGTTTGCTAAATATAAAAGGTTCTGTATTGAAAGGAGTTTAGCTTTGAGGACCCTTCCCCCGCTTTGCTATTAGGCATGAACCATATAATATAATGTCCAGTCCAGAAGCTGTAAAGCACCCTTCCCCCATCAATCTACCACCTCCCCCCTGAAATAACCCTTTTATGGCAAGCCCCTTAAACAATTACTCCTTACAACTAATTAAACTGTCTAATTTGGACATAACTAGTACTTATTTTTATTTACTAGTAAGTAATACAATAGGAAATAGCCTTTTCCCCTCCATTTCACTAGTAGCTAGCTATTCATTAAATACTGGTACTAGTATTTTCCTACTACTAGCAATTTTTCCAGTAATGTCAAGTAATGTGCTTCCCACAGCCAACAAATTGCACATTTTTGTCATTGGTGATCAGTGTTTCAGATATAAACGATTACCTTTTGACTTGTGCATTCTGATTGTTGTAGGTTCAGATCTCAGTTTCACTACTGATTAATTAGGTACCAGTACTGATACTTTAGCTGCTAGCTACTAGTATTTATTACAGTTTTCATAGTTCTAATTGTTCAGACACTAGTTATTAAACAGTAGAGGGTATTCGTAATCTTGATATTTGAACCACAGATCTCTACAGAATTCAATGACATAAATTAGCAATTTTCTTTAAAAGGAACCAGGGAATAGCCTTGTCAGGGTAGATGCTATATTGAATTGTACACATTTAAAAACAGGGTTGAGAGTGATTGATTTCACTGTATAAAAGACCTATATCGTATGTAATTTTCAAAACTCAACATTTATAGTTTTGTCAACTGAATTTTTGTAAAGATATTTCATCAGCTAAACAAATGGCAAGTTGTTAAACAGTACAGTCCTTTGAACTCACTGTCCTTCAATTCCTCCTCGTATTCATTCCTGTCAAAAACTAAATATTTAACTAGTAGACTAAGGCTTATATTGTGACTAATAGCAACACAATGAGTACTTTATTTTAATATAAAAATAAAAGGACTAGTTTAAGAACCAAATTGCTTGCCACACTAAGGTCCTATCCTAATGTCATGACTGAAATATACATAAGTTGTGGTCATGTTCTCAAATTACTGGCCTGCTTTATTCATTCATGAGGAAGTGACAGATTTTCAGTACATCAGAGATGATGGCACAAATAAAACTCCCTGCCGAGGCCAGACACGGGAAGTTTTATATGCTGTAGAACGTGAATTTCACACTGTAGCCGCGTTTTAGTAAATGACATGTGATTGTACTAGGACATGAAACAGGAAGCATGCACGCGCATTCATAACGTAATAGCAAGAATTGGAGTGTCGGTGGAAAGAGGCTTACCGGCAGCCGCCCGGAAGAGATCCGCGTCGGCTTAGGTTCGGGCCCGTGGGGGGTCGCGTACAAACAGTTGGCTCTCTGCTCCGCAGCTGCTGTGTTCCCGATCTGAGTGAAGTATCCAGTCGGTACCAGATTCGTCGGCGGGCTTGCAAGTCCCGTGTTGAAAAAATCCGTCCTCACCGCGGAGAACATTTTCTTCTGCGGGCACGAGAGTCCAGAGACTGCACCTCTCCCAGAAGCAGGAGAAATCCCTCTGGGTATCCGCATCATTTTGCTCACGAAAACCCGCGAAAGTGACGCAAAATAAACTATTTTACAAGGCAAATCGCGTCTCTAGCTTACTGGAGAAAAAGTCAATCGTCAAAATGAATATGTGTATTTTTAAAGACTGCAAATGCTACAGACGATATGCACTTCAGTATAATAAATCCTGTTAAAGTTGTAAATAAATTATGCGTGGAAAATAACAAAAATATAACATCCAACATACACAAAACTCTCTCCCAAGGGTCCTTTGTTGTAGTGGAACGAGAGAGACTATTATGTCTTAATATACTGCAAATAACTTAAGTTAAACATATACACGTACCCGGGTCATTCAGTTTTATAAATCTAAGTTACCTTTAAAAGGTAAGCAAAGCTTAGAAAATGTTTCTTTCGTAGTTGTAGCGTAAAGCCGGCGGTGGTGGGAAACGTTCCTGTGTGTCTGTAATCCCTCTCCGGCAGAGAAGCTTTGCTTTGACACCAGCTCAACAGAGGAGTGCTATTTTAGCGCCAAATTACGTCCCGCGAAATTTGGATCTCCCGCGGTTGGAGACGCTCAGCGATTGGCTGCTGGCACGCCTCACTCGTTCGGATTCTGAATATATTTACATGTAACAGTTGGTGCCTAGCGTTCTTCCTCTTAAAGAGACAGCGCATTTTGAATCTCTTTTGTGAACAAGGGCTTTAGACAACAACAGCGTTATCAAACGTATCCTAGTCATTTTTAGATTTAGCATAGATATAATTCATATAAATACATTTCATACTATACAAAAAAAACGGACGGGTTGCTTACAAATTAACTTGTATCACTTGAAATACACTTTTGTTCTATGAAAAATAGCACATACAACAATCATCAAAGCATTTACACACATAATAATGTTGAAAGATGACTTTACAGCATGCCCCTTGTATTTCCATGGTTTCCAAATGAATCATCCTCATAGATTAATCTTAAATGTCAATGTTTTTTTAACAGCAAAATGGAAAATAGTTGACTCTGGCGTGGCCTGACTCCATGAAAGGTGACTTAAGGGGAACATAAGAGCTTTAAAGACCTAAACAACCCCACAGAAAAGAACCTTTACACTTGAAAGGATCTTATCATCTGGCACAAAGAGTGAACCCCCACCATGCTTCAGATGATTGTTGAGACTCTCCCACCCAGCCATTAGCCCAATGATGGCCGTACAGTGTTTAGGAGAGGCAAATAACCTTTGGCAATGCAATGGCATTCCCAGCTTTTAAAACAAGTACAAAATAAATATGACATACTGAACCAACATATAGGCTAATAACAGCACATACACACAACAAGAGATAAATGGTGATCGAATTCGATATATTAATCATATCGTTCAATATATATTTTTACATTTGGCAGACAATTTTATCCAAAGCGACTTACATTGCATTTCAAGGTACACATTTACATTCTTATCAGCTCTTACTTTCCCTGGGAATCAAACCCATGACCTTGGCGTTGCAAGCGCCAACGCTCTACTGTTTGAGCTATACAGGAAATAATATATATTTTAAAATGTTATTAGAAAGACGGCTACGCGTAAAGTGTTCCATTTCACGCGTGGAAATAAAAATAAAAGTTTAGTAATAGCCTATACCAACATATATGAAATATTTTAAAGGTACGCTGTGTGACTTTTGGCCCTCTGGTGGTTAAAAATAAAAATATTGATGTGCACTGCACAACATGCAGGAAGATCAGGCCTTTCTTAACTGAGCATGCAACACAACTATCACAGGCTCAGCTCCCTACTACGAGTCTACGTCCCTACCAGAAGCCTACGATCAGTCAATGAGCGACGGCTCGTGGTACCATCACAGAGAGCCACAAAATCACTCTCTAACATTCTCATTCACGGTTCCATGCTGGTGGAATGATCTCCCCACCGTCATCCGGAATGCAGAATCCCTGACAACGTTCAAAAGACAACTGAAAACTCTTTCCTTTTCCCTTAATCCTCCCTTGTCTGGCTTATGCTACTCTGAGAAATGCCTGCACTTTATATTTTGAGCACTTCTTGCGTTGTTTTTGCCTCTTCACGATGACTTTAATTTAGTCATTTGTAAGTCGCTTTGGATAAAAGCGTCTGCTAAATGACTAAATGTAAATGTAGGCTAAATGTAAAAAAAAAAAACGGCATTAATTTTGTGGAAGAACATTGTTTTGCTTGTGCTTCGTGACTGTGTGGATGAATATGACCCTTCACAATGGAAAATGTTTTACAATGAGCCAACAAAAGGTACACATGGTAATTAATCACCTAAATTCATACTGGTTTGGAACAACTTGAGGGTGAGTAAATGATGACAGAATTTTCCTTTTAGGGTGAACTATCCCTTTAAGAAATGTCAGAAACGGTCCTGATCTCATATATGTGCTTTTAATGAAAAAAAGAGAAAATCTCTGAAAGCTCTGAACACCGCTCTAAAACTTAATGAGTTGTAACCTAAATACATCGAACTCTACCAGTTGTGACAGTTGTGATCTTAGTCTAACAGAGGGAGCAGAATCTAAATATTTTAGCAGAGCATTTATTGTGGTAGCCTATAATACTTGTGCATTATTTATTGTGGCCTTTGTAACTGATTGTATAGGTAACAGCCAGAATTGTTCAAACTGTGAATTTATTTCAGTTAATTAATTAATTTGTATTATTTGACATAAATTAATGACATGGGTCAATTTTTTTTGTGTGATTCAGAAGAAAATGCCTTAAAAAGGTCTAAAAAAAATGCCTCACATAATCAAATTCAAAGGGAATTTTTTTTATGTGGATGCTGTATTATCAAACCAACTTAAAAGGGAGGGCACATATAGGCTAGGGCTCGTATTCTTTACTCTAACAAATGTTTCAAATGTTTCTTCTAAGGATACAAGCCAAGTAAAAAGGTTAGACATCAGATGCCAAAGTGGATTATTTACAAAACTAATGTTTCAAACTGATAAACTGTAAGATACGTCTATAATGTGAGTTCTTGTTAGTCAAAAGTAAAGGCTTATTTATATATTCGTTCATATGTTCGCAAAACTTCGCATTAAGCACGTGACAGCACTCAATGAACACAAAAATGTGTTGAAAAGGTTCGTGTCGTTTGCTAGTGCGTCCTCTTCTGGAGAGACGTGGGCATATCAGTCAAGATATCAGTAAAGTAATCCCCTTGTGATTTATAGATATATTTTACTTGTCTCGAAAACGGCGATTGCTAACAAATTGCTAAATGGGTCTACTCTATACAGAGGTTTTTGGGGCAATAAAACACAGAATAGGCAGGCTAAACTCATCTAATCATTAGCCTGTGAGCCTTATTGTGTTTAGAGCTATTCTAAACTATTTTAACTCAAACTTTCAGGAAATATGTAAAAAAAAGAAGAAAAAAAAGACTGAAAGTTGCCAGAAGGTTAATGATAGTCATTCGTTTATTGCCCACACGTTTCATAAAACAATTAATAAAAGTTGTGTTCATTTGTGAAAATTATCATGATGAACAAAACGTGTGAGATCATAAACCTTTATTAGGCACGGTAATCCAAATGCCAAAAAAATGGATAACAGGGTGATGCTAACTTCCGGGTTGGCGTACAAAAATACGTCATCACTGCAACACTCCACAAAATATAATAAGAACCAAACTTCTGAAAGAAGAGACAGAGGATCAAAAATACATTTCTGATTTAGGGTCACATTATACTTATTTGAACAAAAGAAAACACACAGTTGAACGATAGAATACTGCATTACAGAAATGCAGTAGGCTAAGGGTTTAGCTTTGTAGCCGTTCGTAGGCCTATGCTTATTAGCAGCTTTTCCTGACAGAATAATGAAGCGTCACTGAATACTTCAGAAATTTTACTAAACATAGATACGAAGTTGTCACAAAGGCTAGCCTATCTCAGTTTGGAGTCAAATATTGCTCTAGCAGCGTTTTGTATTTTGTTTTCAAATAAGTTAAAAACTGTCTATAGGCTACTTATCATATTAGGCTACATTATCGTATTTCTGCTATAGCCTGGTTGGGTACACGTGAACACTGTAAACTGTACTGACATACATTCACAGATGGGTAAAAATTATTGACGGTCAAATTTAGATGGAATACGGCAGTAATACCCCAAATAGTGTGACCCCTGTGATTGGGGCACGTGGTCAACACGAACTGTGCTTTGAAAGGGAGTAACAGGTGAAATGACCTTACTGTATGGAATTAAAAGTGCAACAACTAGCCAATATCTCACCAATGTAGTTATATTTCATTCACTTGCAGACCTACTATTAATTTACATACAAGCCACATGATGGCGCCAGTTCATTGTTTGCGGTGCCAACAACGGATATGTAGGCCTATGTGATTATTACTTTGAACACTGGGTGTCGCTATATGAACTATTATGGTTGAAAGCGTCCTACAGATCGCCTCACGTTACTCAACACACAAATCTTAAGTGTGGACCCTCAAGACCATAATCACTCTTTCTTGGAGGCCAGATGAAATTAAATAAATAGTGCTTATCAAAGTTTGACAAAAGGGCACTATTGCACTGAACTCTAGTTCTGTGGGCAAAGGTCTTTTTAAAAGAGACTACAGACACTTAAGAGGACAGTTGTGCTAAATTTAAATACAAGTGACTCACATTTAGACAGTGTTGTGTAGGCCTGTAACAGATGCTAAACACAAAAAAGTCCACGATGACTCTATCTGGAAAGATTTTTGGCAGATGCACTGTACTTTTACCTTTTTTAACCACTATTATTCACTTTATCTTGCATTTACCTGTTTGTAGTTTTATAAAAACTTTCTCTTTAGCTTTTTTCATCAGAAGTCTTTAAAGTGACAGTGTTATGATTTCATATCAATAATATATAAACGGCTATGGGGGAGATGGAGTGGAGGGAATCACTTTAACTCTTGTTTTTTTTTAAAGAAAACATTCTTCTTGTGTATTTTCAGTATATTTCTATGAGATAGGCTATACATGAAGCTTTAAAGACAGCAAAAAAAGTCGGCATTGAGTTATTTAAGAAAAAATACAGAACAACATATTTGCTCACTTTCATATATGATTTATTTTTGTGTAAAAAGTGAGTACAAAGCAAAAAAAACAACAACTCTTAAATGAGTTTATGAAACTCATTGATCTGACAGTCTGTAGAAATAGACAATCCCCACAAACATATACAATCCACTCTATATTATAGAGTTCAAATTCTAATCCACGTCTGTATTCCCACTGCCCAAGGCCCTTCCCACCCTATAAAACAAAAACCCCCGTCAAGCATAATATGTACATCATCCCAGTGATCGAGAAGCTCACTGAGACCAAACTGTGACCATGCTGAAATGTGGAAAAGTTTTCAAGAAAAAATAAAGGGGGGGGGGGGGGGGGGGGGGGCTTATCCAAGAATGGCTGGGAAGGAAGGGTGTGTGAAGAGATATTAGTTGGTCCAAATAGTCAGGAATGTAGCCAGTACAAAATATACAATGCTTGATTGTTGCCACAAAAAACAGGAATGATTAACGAAAAAAATTGGAGGGCTTTTCTTTTTTTGTGATCTTCAAAACTCCTCGGCTTTGGTTTGTTCAAGTGTC